TTCTTCTGATTTTATTCCTTCATATCAACACTTTTTATGGGAGACATGTTTGCCAAACTAGGCTCAGGACTTTGTTTTGAATGTGAAATGGGGGGAGAGCTGTGGGAAAACATGCTTTCACTCAGATGTTTTGCATTTCAATTGTCCCCAAGCTTTGGAGAGATGAATTTTCAATGGAGGGCTGGGAAAATTTTTCTGAAACAGAGAATTCAACTGAAAGTATCAGAGGGCAGTTTTTATAAAGCTTTTTTTTTCTAAAAGCCCATCACAGGAAAGTCAAACTATGGAGTGGGAGGAATAATTTCTTCTTTTTTTTCACCCACCCTTTTGTTATCATTCGAAAATTTTCTTTGCAGGATAATGGTAAAAACATAAATAATAATAATTGTATTCGAGTACCCTTTTTAACGACTTGCTGCTCATGTTTTCCTTCCTCCTTATTCGAGTTGCGAAACAGGATTTTTGTTCGGGAGTTCCACGAGTTCTGGTGTCGCAAGGTTTTTGGGGTTGCCAAATTTGCTCTTGCTCAACTTCCTTTATGCTGGCTTTTGTCTTGAGGCTTTTGCCTTATTTTTTATTCTTTTGGCCGGATGGGGAAATTCTGAAGGGAAATGAACCTCTTGACACTCAGCTGAAGCCTTCCAGACTCGAATTTTTGCACCAATGTTGACGCTTTCAAATATTTAAACCAAATTTTTATTTGGGCCAATGAAACAATGGCTGATTTATCTGGAAAATACTGTATTGGGTAAAGTGGCATTAAGATGAGTGGAGGTCAGTGGGTTACCTATAAAAACTTTCTCAGTGAAGACATTTTTGAAATTTATTAAGCTTAATTTGGAGAATGATGAGTAAGAAAAATTAAAAATGAGTGAGTTCAGTGGGTCACTTATCTGAACATTCTCATTTAATGAAAAATTGTAAATTTTAGAAACTCTTCCCTACCATAAAGATTCAAGGGTCTTTTGCTGTTATCCACTTGTATGAGTAGTATCACTATATATACACAACATATGTTTATAAAAAGAAAATTTCATGAAAAATGAAATGAAAGCCATGTTGCTGAATTGGTGGGATGGATGGCTGGTTGAATCTTTGCCTTTTGAATATTTTAAAATGTCAATTCATGAAATAAAATAAAATTTATCTAATCCAAGATATTT